TAATTCGTCTGGTACTGTGGCTTTCTGTTCCTTGCTGTCCAGTAGTTGTTGCCATAGAAAGCATGTTGTTGTTACTTTATTGAATTCTTCATTCCATCCTTTCTGGCATAATTAAAATGACCACTGTGTTGTGGGAGTATGTGCAAGGAGTCTCTTCAGAGTTGCATTCTTGCTATGTAGATGGATTTGTTATCAGTTGCTGTCCAAGCTTTCTCCCTTCCGTAGACCCTCCTTTCCATTTTATCAGTGCTGTCTTCAACTGCAGTAATTCCTTTAATTCCCCCAACCAAAATGACAGCTTTGCCAGGAGAATGGCTCAAACAGCACTGCCATGGTGAGAATTTAGTGCTTTACATTTATTGCATTCGTGATATAGGACAATTGCTCCTTTTTCTTCTCTTTTTCCTTTTGCTACATAACAACTTTCCACCTCTTTTGCATGCTTCCATTTTCTATCCATTGCATCCTAAGAAATTCAATGCAGTCTTAGATTACTCACTTAGTGCAGCCCAAACCCAAATATTAATGTCAGAATGCAGTATATTTTCCCTAAGTACTTCCTACCAGAAAACACAATATTTCAGCAGTGTGACAGTCTATTATGTTGAGGAATGTGAGACATGGTCTAGACATTCTAATGTATCAGGAAGGTAAGTGGTACAGGGCATTCTTCATCTTTAAGTCATGCTTTATTTCAAAACTGTTTTTTGATTGAACTTGACTGTTGACTGAGAATGAACAAGATAATTTTGAGCACAGAACTTACTAGCTGTTACAAATCAGGCACGCAGACAGGTGGAAGCTTTCTGATGAATAAACTCAGGTATACCCTTACAGGCTCCCTTTTCTGCTTGTAAGAGAGTGTGCTTTTTTGTTTCTGCATCAACAACACCTTTTTGGATTTTGATTTGCTTTCAGAGGTGCAAATGCAACAAAAATGCCTGTATCAGACTATTCATTAACTGTCCAATATAGGTCAATAATATTGAAATATCTTTAAAATAATATCTTTCACTTACATATAGAGTGGGACAAAAGGTCACATCTTTGAATTTCAAGGGCTATTTCTTTACATCAGCCCTTATCCTGAAAGTAAAAATGTAAGGAGGGACTTGGGATGCTTTAACAGCTATGATTTTAAGATGATCTCTCACTACCTCTTTCTTCCGAGTCTCAGTGAAGTGCTTTTCATTATTCTCAGAGGTATATATATTCATTCCATTATAACTCAGCAGATGTTGAATGTAGTTACCAGACTAGTGCTGAAACATTGGTCTTGCAGTGTGAAACATTGCTCTTCTAAATTGCTGTTTAATTGTCACGTTATAAGGTGTTACGCAAGAAAGAAATGTGTTTTATGATCCAGTTGTCCCTGAAACACCTTCCACAGCCACAGGGTGAGCTACCTTGCTAGTTTAGTGAGTGGAAGGTTAGTGCCTAAATGTTTCCAGAAGGGACTGGCTGGAAGATAGATCTACTGTTCTATTCCTTACATTAAAAATATGCAAGTTCCTCAAGACTTCAGTGTTGGGAATCTGTATAGAAGCTGTGCATTAATTTCAGAGAATCTGCAACTATAAACAGTGAGTGTCAGTTAAGGGATGCCTGTTTGCACGTTGGGAAACCTGACGTAAGGGGTAGGTAGAATACAGTGTCCATGTGACAAGCGTTATGCTTCTTCCAATTGCTGCTGTTTTAACTTTCAGACCTGTTTCTTGTGACCCACATATAGGTCCTGACTTGAATTGTAAAGAAGCCAACCTTAATTCAAACTAAAGGTTCTTAAGCAACTTCACTTATTAGAAATATATGAGGGCCACGCATGACTTGTATTGCACATCATTAGTAAGGAAAATTTCTCATCAGTACTTAATTTTTTGTATTCTTCTGAATAGTGATGATTTTTTTTTTTGAACTGAATTCCACTTCCAAGTCAGACTCTTTTTTTCTGTGATAAAAAATTCTGTCCCTAGAAAGGGGTTGCTGTTTTCTGATAGGTTTGGGTGGTATTTCAATCCACCATCCTGGTTGGAAGATGTGCATTGATTTCCCAAGAAATGTGCAGCACAAAGATGCATGCTATCCTTTGACAGTACTCCTCAGTTCTTCTACATTGTAAGGGAAGCTTTAGGATTCAGGAACTGTTAACCTAACACAAAGAGCAGATGCTTTTGGGACTCCCTCTCTGCGTCAATTCCTGGTCCAAGCACCAATAAACCATATTTATTTTCATGTATATGAAGTCTTACTGACCCTTGGGAACTGAATGTATGGCTTAGAGATTAGAGCACTGGGTAAATATGAAAATGATATATCCCCTGGTAATTGAGAAGACAATAGAAGAAATAGCAGCAGTTATAAAGACCTATTCACAAATTTTTAGAACTTGTGATTCTTGTTTAGAATAAATGGACTTTCATTCAGTCTTATTCACTGTTGTCCAAAAAGCAGGGACAAATGCAGACAAACTAGTATGATGATGATTGCTTTCTAGTTTATATTGTTTTCATTAACAGTATTTCAGAAAGTCAAGCAAATCCAAACTAATTTTCAGGAATTTCAGATTCCCCCTCTATCCTCAGGGTTTTTTGATTGAGAGCTCTTGATTAGAAATGTTTGTCAGTTCCCAGTTCATGCAAATCTTACTGGTCGATCAGGTTAATAGTGATACCTCTCAGTAGCAAACCTGATTACCATGTTTTGGTGATAGGAGAATACCTTTCTCACCTGGTCTGTTATAGTATGGTTTTTAGCTCTTGCCGTGCAATATGTAAAGCAAGATACACTCTGTGCTACCACTTCTTTTCCTCCTAATGTAATAGAAAAATAAATTCTCCTTTCCACTGTCTTTCCCAATTCGCTGTTCTCTGAGAGAAATACTGTTTTTTTCATTCTGTTCCAAGGAAAAGAAGAAAAAATTTGAGGTCAATAACTTCTTTGTTACAGACACTGTGCAGAAGATGAAGCTCCCAAACTGTTGAATGAATTGTGGGTTTCTCTTCCTGCAACTTTCAGTGTGATCTTGGAGGGGGTATGTGAAATCATTTTGATATTGTGCCACCACTATAATTATAGCTTGGGTGTTCTTGTTGGAAGAAAAGACCAGGATCTGTGATTGCGCAGGGAATGTGCATTATGTAGAAGATGGAACAGGGAAAGATGGGGAAACAACTAAGCAAACTTTTTAGCCTGTCTTTATTAGCATTGAGGGTTGGTAAGTCTTATTCTGTGTCCCACAGCTGGAATTAGGCCCTAGCTTAACTACTCTGTGTTAATGCTAATTTTCAGCTACTTACTAACACCTAATGCGAAACCACCACAAGTTTCTGTAGTTTTGTTCTTGTTCTTGCTTCTTTTAGTACTTGAATAGTAGTTGAACAACTTCTGAAGTGGCAGATTAACACTATGGAAGCTGAGAAAATTCACAGCAAAAGCAACTGTAATTTCCTAATGCAAGAGAACTGAAAATAGTTTTGACCATACTGATCAGATATAGATTTAAAACTGAAGACAAACCTGTCTTGTTGTGCTGATGCTTGAAGGTTGTGTGGGCTGTGAATTCCAGGTCAAGTGAACTGAGACGTAGGACACCTCCAGAATGAGAAAGCCAGGTTTTTAAAGTAATAGTTTCATACGCTGTTCCTGCTAATATTTGCAACCACCTACCTTTTTTTCTGTTGCTCAGAGTTACATCAGCATTTAAAAGCAATTTCTATATATTTTTTCTTAGAGGGAAAGAGAGAAGAGCAGCTAGTCTTTTTTCAAACAGACTCTGTGTTATATAGTTTGCTAGTTTTTATTCCTCTTCTATAATAGTAATTCTTGTAGCATAAAAGCATTATGTGAAATTGATCTCTCTTCAGAAAAAGGGGAAGGTGAGAAGGGAGGAATTTCTAGCTGCCTAACTGCAAGGATAATTAGGAAGGTGTAGGCATTGCAAGGGAATTCATTCTGTCTCATTTCGAAGCTCTGAACAAGGCATTTTATGTTGCTGCTTCAGTGGGGATTCCAGACCTGCCCACCAGTGTTCAATTTATCTGTCAGCAGTTAAATGAATGAATAACTTCCTAAGAATCAAAAACCAGGAGACATTTGTCTTCTGACCCCACCCCCCCTCAAAAGAACCAACTAAACAAACAAAACAACTGAAACCCTCTAAAATACTGTGGTTAGTAAAACTTTAATGTTTGTAGGTGAAAGAGGAGAAAACAGCTGGACTATGATCACCAAATCTTGCAGCAGTTTGGTTCCCATTCCTTATATTTTTCCTTTTCAGATCATTTTGGCAACACTGGAAATTTTGGTCTGACTTTTCTACCCTATTTCTTTTTGAGCCTTTCGTTACTGGAAATACTTTTCACCAAGAAATACTAGTGAGATCTCTAGAATTGTAAAAGAGGTATTCCTGACTTTTCTGCATTATTTACGTAAATTCTGTGAGGCAATGCTTCTCCTCTGATCTTCTTGACCAATATAGTCAAGAACTGGAGAAAATTTGGCATTTATTCACCTTCCAAACCTCTGAATGTATACCTCCAAAACGGAACAATTGAACTTTTGATATTGCCTTACAGTGATAGGATAATCAACCAAGAATGCTTTGGTTTTTTTCTGGAATTCGTTCTTCCCAAAGATATTGACTTGTGAAATAACCCTTGAAATACATCTGCCCTACCTAATATTTCTAGGTATAACTGTCATGGTATAACCTCATACCTATAACAGAATAAGCTACAGGTGTAATCCAATAAGTTTTTATTTTTGACTGTCTACTATGGAATGGAAAATGTTCCATTGTGAAGAATACAAATTTATGTAATGAATTTGCATTCATTAGATAATACATAAAACCTGACTTCTAAATCTTCCGTTGCTTGTCTGGGGTTTTCATTTTATTGTACTGTTTTGATGTGCTGAACTAGAAGCAAGACTTTAAAACAATAAATACTTAATAACACTAAGAACAACCTTAACTGACAATATTTGTGTTCTCTTAACAGAATCTGGTTCTGCAATTACTGCTTCCTGTATTGGTTTGGGGAACTCTACAACACCTCCACCTGGACAGGCAGGAAAACCAGTGCCAGGATACAATGGTAAGACTGTGCTAAATATGCTGCTAGAAAAGGATATTGCTTATATTCCTGAGTAAGTGCTCCTTAGTTTCCGTATTTTTGGAAAGAAAATTACAGTCTTATTAGCATATTTTGCACCTTTCTGCAACAGGAAGCTGTGCTTTTTTGTGTGCTGTGGAATGTGATTGTGCGTAAGTAACTCAGATTTATGCTCAAGAAGATTGATCAACTACTTCTATCTTAATTATATAGAAGAGCTATCACATACTTCTACACTGGATGTTGCAAAGATACGAAAAAAATACTGTGCTTTAAGGCTTTATCTAGAGTTGCACTGTTTGAAATGAGAAGCAAAAGTAAAATTTGTATTGGCAAATCAGGAAGAAAAATATTAGTAACCATCAGCAAAAGAGCAAATGATAACAAGAGAAATAGTTCCTGTAACTTGCACTTTGAGTGGTCTGTTATACGTGTTTTCAGAGCCTAAATAGTTTTTGTTTGGGTGATATACATTTAATAATTATGTCTCAGAGACACATTGATTAGATTGATTAGGTTTTCCTTTGGCACTATAATTTTATGTGAGAAGTATTCTGAAGTGCAAAACAAAATTCTTACTGAGGTCTGTCTTCCACAAATACATCAGAGTGAACTAACAAGCAAGAATATAAAACTTCTGTTTCAACCCATCCCATTCTTTTTTTTTTTTTTTAATCAATTTGAATTTCTGCCATTTTCTACAGGTATATGGCCTTGTATTTGAGAGACTTGTTAAGCACATTATCTTTCAGTACTTGTGGAGCATTTTTATTTCCATCTGGGAGAAATGGTAGGCTATGGACCGTAACTAAAAGGACAAGCACTAGTTGTCTGGAAGGTATTTGTATGCAGAGAGTGCAGCCACAGTATTAAGAATACGACAATATTTTTTGTACATGGGATCCCTGAATTTAATGCAGTTTTCAATTCTTTTTCAAGTCTGAAAAAGAATTACATTAAAGACCAAACCATCTTCAGGAAAAGTTCTCACATCATTGATCAGAAAGAGCTTAGTTGTTTTTTCTTCTAATACTTACAAGTGGAAATGAACATTAAAGAAAATAAACATTTTCAGCAGCTCTGGGGTTTGGCATTTAAAGTTTTGGCACGAAGACAAGCAGTAGCTTAAAAACAGCATTAAAACAAAGCCATGGAGTTTGTCCAGAGTTTTAATAAATAGGGAAGAGTGAAAGAATGTAATTGCATCACAGATGCTATCAGATGATAGTCAGGCCTAGAAAAAAGCATGAGTAGCATGAATATAAAAATTGCCTATGAATTTTTTGGAACATTATTCCTACTGTAAGTAAAGAATTTCTTCAAATAAAATAAAGGAAATATCTTTATCATGCCTTGAAAGGGAAACATAAAATGAGCACTAAAATTTACTAAAAATTTATGAAAGAACTTTACCTCTTTCAGTCTTTGGTTTGGGGCCAATTATGTCCCGTAATGCAGCCATTCATGAAATAGTGGATCTAGAAATTACTCTGTACTGGAAGCTGTCTTGCTGTCATCCAATTCTGTTTTGATGTTTTGCTGCTGTTACTATATTAATTAGAAGAGATCCATACCCCATTTAGAAGATAGATTCTGTATTTTTAGATTATACAACTGTTAATGGCTTTTGGACATTGCTGAAGTTATGTTGTGTTTGTGCTGGGATATATATAGAAAGTTACAAAATCCAAAATCTAGCTTTTTTTTTTTTTTTTTTTTAAGTACAGCCGTACTATTGCTAAAATAAACTGATTTCTTTGCTGATTTTTTAAAATGTAAAGAATAAAGGTAGTATTTAGATATCATATCAAAGTACAGTGGCACAAATTGCATTTAAAAGTGAGTTAAGAAACCATATTAATTTCTAGCTCTGTTACCTTAAATCAAATATGGTATTGTGCTTTCCCTTTGTTCTACTTGAGCCATTTCTGGATAATTTCATTGCATTGTTCCCAAACTGAAGCAAGTTCCACATTTTAAAGAATTAAGTCAGTTCTTCAGTAATTCAGGAGTGAGCAGTATAATACCTCCCTTCCCCAAATTTTCATACATTGAAATATACTGCTTGCAAGGAATGCTGGAATAAATGCTGGAAGTGCTACCTTGATAAAATAGTTACAATAAACTGATTAGATTTTACTTTGGTGTAATAAAAATAGGAAAAATTATGGGAGAAAGCATTGCAAGCTACGTGTGTGTCTTTTTTTATTGTGTATTCTGAGCCTAAATTCCCCAAATCTAATGATACCATGTTCTTATGCCATCTAAAAAGATATAGGAAAAAAAATCATAGAATAATAGAATCATAGAATGGTTTGGGTTGGAAAGGACCTTAGAGATCATTTAGAGATCATCAAGTTCCAACCCCTGCCATAGGCAGGGACACCTTCCAGGTGTCCAGGACCAGGTTGCTCAAAGCCTCATCCAGCCTGGCCTTGAACACTTCCAGGGATGGGGCATCCACAGCTTCTCTGGGCAACGTGTTCCAGTGCCTCACCAACCTCACAATAAATAATGTATTTATAATATCTAGTCTAAATCTGCCCTCTTCTAATTTAAACCCATTACCCCTCGTCCTGTCACTGCATGTCCTTGTAAAAAGTCCCTCCCCAGCTTTCCTGTAGCCCCCTTCAGGTACTGGAAGGCTTCTATTAGGTCTCCTCGGAGCCTTCTTTTCTCCAGGCTGGACAACCCCGACTCTCTCAGCCTGTCCTCATAGGGGAGGTGCTCCAGCCCTCTGGTCGTCTTCATGGCTCTCCTCTGGACTTGCTCCCACGTGTCCATGTCCTTCTTATGTTGGGGGCCCCAGAGCTGAACACAGCACTGTAGGGGGGATTTCACGAGAGCAGAGTAGAGGGGGAGAATCACCTCCTTCATCTTGCTGGTTGTGCATCTTTTGGTGCAGCCCAGGATAAAATATATTTGCATACTACAAATGGTTTTTGTTTATACCATTCTTGCTGTTTTTCGTAAAATTGTCTTCTGTGTTTCCATTCATCCTTTTGATTTCCTGTTGCAGTTACTCCCTCCAAGTCACTGATTTGTAAAACTGGCCTTGTGGACTTGCTTGTGTCTATGTGCTTGGCCATTGCTTTCAGCAGGCTCTTCAGTTATTTAAAAATTACCATCCTCTATAAAGGAATGTCTTCAGACAGAAACAGAAAATTACCAATGCTTGGCATTCTTTGGGCAAATAGGATATGGTATTACTCATAAGAGTCTTAGCAGGGTTTTAGTCAGAAATCTGTCATCCTCATTTCCCCATTTCCTCTGGAACTTTTTAATATAGAATGAAAGATTATTTGTACTAATTTAGGTTCAGCTGAACATTGCTTTTTTTGCTTGGGCAGACTTCAAAGGGCATGTATTTAAATCCATGTCAACCTGGTCTGTCAAAAACTTCCCTCCCTGTTTTTTCCATGGTTTAGTCATTTCACTTTGTTTAATTCCATTTATCACAGGCTGAGTTGATAGTACAGCTAAGAAATATTATAGTGTATCTGCCATTCCTTCCTTATCCCCACACCTTCAAATGGAATGGGTGGTTGTAGCAGATTTGTCATGTATCTGAAGGGTCCTTTGCTATTTGGAAGTTCAGATTTTCCAGTATGAAGGTGTCTTTTAGTTTTCAGTTCTATATTTTTCCCTTTTTGACTTTGAGCTAGTTCTTCTTCTAAAGCCCGAGTATTATCTCAGACTTTTTGTACTTAAGGCTGAATGATAATATGGTCATGACATTATCCAGTTTGTCACTCCCAAATTGCTTAATTCCTTTTGTTGCTTGGTGTATTGCCCCTTTGAAGTGTGAAATAAGTTGATACCCATGAAGAAAGACACTGTCCTGTACCTAAAAATACACTACTTAACAGAACTTCTCTTCCTGTATTACCTTTTTACAGTGATGATTCTGGATGAAAATAAGGAACCAGTGAAGGCGAAGACTTTAGGAAATATTGTGGTAAAGTAAGCAAACTAAATATCTTACAGTTAAGAGAAGCCTCCTACATGGGTTGATTGTCTTTTGACCAAAGTTTATATATAACAATAATTGAAGTAATAAGAATTTAAAAGCATGACTGCCTCTGATATTGATACAAAACTGCGAGAACTTTTAATGTCCATTAATGTTGAAAAATTTCAGATGAAATTGTGTGAGTGAATGAGTGTGAATTGCTGGGTTTTCTTCTTAGACTACAGCAAAGTTTACCATTTTCTTAATTAACAGCCTGCTGGGACAGAATTAAGCCTTCCTGTTGGGACATATGAGCAAGATATTGAATCATTCTCTTCACTATTTTATCTTTAGTGAAATAGTACAGCAGTGCAGATTGACATGCTTCGGTTTATGGGTATGATGCTGTCTCCTCTTTCACTATCCCCTAGTCACAACTGATGTGCGTTCTTAGAGGGAGAATGTGTTTTTTGTGATCTTCGTAAAAACAGGCAGATGTGTCTGCATGTGCTTTGCGTGAAACGAAGTGTTCAGTTGTGGTAGTACTTGGACGAAATACATACAGGAGAGGACCCCAGCAAAAAAAAGGGAAGAAAGAAAAAAGCCCTGCTGCACACCATGCAGGTGATTTTTAGTACCATTTACCAGACTCCTGCCAGGGGATTTCCATGAGCTTCAATATTATTTTTTAAAATACACCTTTCTTAGCTTCTTTTCTTCGATAAAGGAGTCTCTGCCAGATAACACGGTGGACATCAATCACGTTTCACTTACTTTCTCCTGTCTCACTGTTGCCAGAACCTGCCCTTCTGTAAAGCTTGCGAGGCTACTGCTCCCCGCAGCCCATACCAGCTCTGTATTCTGGATGTTTCACAGGCTTTTAGGCAAACAGCATTTTCCTCAGACAGATACGGCTTTGTGATTAACATGTTAGCTGTAGCTGCCTCTGTTTTCAATCACAGAAAATACTTCAGTTCTGAATACTTCCTAACTGCCAGCAAATACTTGTCCAAAAAGAAATGCATTCATCCCCTTCTTTTGTGGTAAAATTTAGGAGTGTTGTGGTAACTCAGATTCTTTGCTGCTTGCTTAGATGAATGGAAGAGAATATAAAGATTAGTATTACCCCTCAGTGAGATGAAATTCTTTCCAAAGCCAAAGCATTGGGACAGACGTACTGATTTTCATGAGTTGTTAGAGAGAGGTTAGCTGAGGATTGAGGTAATGGCCACATGAGCTGGAGGGGAGACACATGGCAGCTGCAGGCACTGGACTGTGCTGCAGATGTGCGGCGCTAAAAATGAGGGTGGCGTGCCTGTGCGGTGCTTGCCTGGGAGTCAGAGTTGCAGAGGTGTGGAGGGTTTTTGCTCAGATGTACTACTGATCTAATGTAACTACACCACTGTGGAGACTAATGTAGTATCACATGAAGTTATTGTCCTGTGTGACACCGAGGTGTGTTTTCAGGATGAAGTCTATACTCTGCCTAATTTTCAGCGTCTTAGGCTAAGCCACAAGGACACACAGGCATGTGTTTAAGTGCACACACGATCTTGCCTGAATCAGCAGACTCATATTTAGACATAGTTTTCCTGTGACACATGTAAGATTGTGCATTTATTCCACTGCTGAGTAGGAATAATTAAAATTGCTCCAGCCTGTAACAGGCTGTAGTTTGCAGTATCAGTAACCCAGGTCAGACTGGAGGGATGTCTTTCAAAGCTCTTAGTGCCTTATGCCATAATAAAATGTAGGCTTGTAATCAATGGACAGAGAGAGTGGTATTTTGTAAGAAAATTGATCCTAGCTGTTTTAGGCATTCAGCTAGATGGAATAAATTGCCTTCCAGATGTACTCATGTCTCTCCACTGACTGCAGGGGTGACACGGCTAGCTTAGGCCAGGTGCTTAGCATTATCTACCAAAAGCAAAGTGAAATGAGCTCCATCCTTAGCAACTCTGCCAAACAAGCTGAATTATATCTACTAAAGCTAATGGCAGGGAGAGCAGAGTGGCGCAGCGGAAGCGTGCTGGGCCCATAACCCAGAGGTCGATGGATCGAAACCATCCTCTGCTAAGGGACCTTTTTTGCTGATGACACCAAGCTGTGTGGTGTGGTGGACACGCTGGAGGGGAAGGGATGCCATCCAGAGGGACCCTGACAGGATTGAGAGGTGGGCCAATGCCAACCTCGTGAAATTTAACAAGGCCAAGTGCAAGGTCCTGCACGTGGGTCGAGGCAATCCCAAACACAAATACAGGCTGGGTGGGGAATGGATTGAAAGCAGCTCTGAGGAGAAGGACTTGGAGGCATTGGTTGATGAGAAGCTCAACGTGAGCCAGCAGTATGTGCTTGCAGCCCAGAAAGCCAACCATGTTCTGGGCTGCATCCAAAGAAAAGGTGATCAGCAGGTCAAGGGAGGTGATTCTCCCCCTCTGCTCTGCTCTTGTGAGACCCCACCTGCAGTACTGTGTTCAGATGTGGGGCCCCCAACATAAAAAAAGACATGGACCTGTTGGAGAGAGTCCAGAGGAGGGCCATGAAAATGGTCAGAGGGCTGAAGCACCTCCCCTATGAGGACAGGCTGAAAGAGTTGGGGTTGTTCAGCTTGGAGAGAAGAAGGCTCCGAGGATATCTAAGAGCAGCCTTCCAGTACCTGAAGGGGGCTACAGGAGAGATGGGGAGGCACTCTTTATCAGGGAGTGTAGTGAGAGGAAAAGGGGTAAAGGGTATAAGCTGAAAGAAGGCAGATTTAGATTAGATATTAGGAAGAAATTTTTCACTGTGAGGGTGGTGAGACAGTGGAACAGGTTGCCCAAAGAAGCTGTGGATGCCCCATCCCTGGAGGTGTTCAAGGCCAGGCTGGATGAGGCTTTGAGCGACCTGGTCTAGCGGAAGGTGTTCCTGCCCATGGCAGGGGGTTGGAACTTGATTCTATTATTCTTGGTGTGTTTCTGAGTCATGATTATCTTTAAGTGCCTATCAGAAGTGTATATTGCCATATTCAAAGATCCTATTCAGGGTTATTATCAAACTTTTAAAGCCAGAATTTATCTTCCCTAATGCAGCCCCACGTTTAGGCATTTATCTTAAGTGATTACAAGTGTGTTTATATATTGATTTTTGCTGTTTGTTTTGTTCAGTTTTATCTTGACTTCTTCTGCAGTCAAATAAATTGATAGGGAAAAAGCGGGGATTTTTGGTTTGGTTTGGTTTTTTTATGCATTGCATCACTCAAAGAGTAATGGCACTGGGACTCTATTATTTTATTGTGTCCATGAGTATTGTAATGTCCATTCTGAAATAGGGGGGAGAGTAGGGGGCAAAGAAATTACATTGTATCAATAACAGTTATTGATGCAAAACCCAATGAAACCAATTGTAAGGCAGGTTAACTCTCAACCCTCTTTCTCTTCCAGCCTTTTTTCTGACTTAATCTTTTGAGACAATAAGGTCGCTTGAAATTCATTCTGCAGCTTAACAAAAAAAAAAAAAACAAAAACAAAAAAACCAAAAAAAACCACCAAAAAAAAAACCTCTTCAGCAGTCTTCTACATGTACAGACACCTTAAAAGTAGTAAGGATGATCCTTTTTACTAGCAGTCTTTGTTTGTCAGTGGCAAAATATGGTGTAGTATTTTAGAAAAAAACCCCAGGTGTTTGCTTTGTCTACAGGATACATGAGTTGAGAAATATTCAGTATTTCTTTGGGAGGAGAATGGCCACACACTGCCTGCAGTACCAGCTGTGAGAAAGTGGTATGCTGCTGCTCTTGGTTATTTTTATCCCAGTCTAGCTCCCAGTAAAGACTGTTGGGGGCTGCTTGAGGCCTGCAGTGCTCGTAAAGTATAGTATCTAAGATATCCTTGTAACAGAGTTTTACACTTTAATTTTATCCTGCAGGAGTCAAATACTTTAGAAAGGTCATTCTTACACCTAATTACTCCATCTTTCTGCTGCAAGTACATTCTTTTCTTTACTCATCTGCCAACTGATACCTGGGTTTTTTTTTTAACCATCATCTATGCCCTTTGTAAAGATTTTCGCTGACAAGAAAATCTTTTTGACTTCACAAGTCTTTCAGGGCAAAGTAGTCAAATGCAGTGTCACAGTAGTTATGATGAAAGGGCAAGGCAAAATGAAGATGACTGCAGCTCATGAGATGTGGGCTTATATGAATTGTTTCTAAATTAGCATTTTTTGAGATAGAATCACAGAATCACAGGATCACAGAAT